AAACCTCATACATTTACAATAAATAAAACAACTATGCACTTAATCTGATTCACAAGAAGCTCGATACGGGCGCCCGATTCAATTCATTATCATTAATTCATCATAACAGTTCATTATCATTTATTCATCATAATAAAAGCTTCATTATCATTAATTCATCATAACAGTTCATTATCATTTCTTCATAATAATAAAAGCTTGTTTACAATTATGTTTGTGGGGGCATAAGGGCTGGCAGTGGGACAAAGGAGAAGACATGTTTACGGGTGACAACCTCTAAACAGACATAACTAAAAACGGAAATACTCAAAGGGGGGCGATTCCAGTCACCCGTCGAGCAACTCCAGAGAAACTGACGGCGCCGTACTCTACAAAGACATCACAGTCAAACGATTGCCCTCGCCCCGGCCTCGGCTTCCTCCGCCTTGGCGAGGTGGCGCCGGGTCTTGCCGGAGGAGGGTCCGAGGCCGCGGTCGGGCTTGGCCCTGGCCGCGCCCCTGGCCGCCGCGTCCTTGGCCAGGAGGAGAGGCCGGGCCGGGTCCGGCTCGGCCAGAGATCAGGAGCTGTTGCTGGCGGCCGTCTCGATCTTCTTCGAGAGCTCGGACACGACCTCGCGGTAGATGAGCGGGTCCATGTTGTCGCCCAGGGTGTACAACAGCCACCAGTCGCCCACGTCTGTCTTCCTGGCCAGGGCCTCGGCCACCTCGTGCGGGATCAGCTTGTGCCACCAGTGGAACACTTTGGGGCGCAGCGACGGCACGCTGAGCAGGAGCGCGCGGTAGAGCACTAAGACCGTCAGGAGCGCGGCCAGGATCATGAACCAGAACCAAATGAAGATGTACGTCTTCTCGTTGACGATGTTGAGCGGCAGAAGGCAGAGCGAGTCGTGCTTCTGGATCGTGCCGGACGCACCGTACTTGTGGAAGATGCACTTGGTGACGCGCGGGAACACGTACACCATGGGGTCGACGCGCTCCTCCTGGTTCTGGTCCGAGAAGGACATGACGCGCAGCCCGTAGCTGAAGAACTCGCCGTCGAAGAAGTGGTTCATCATGTAGAGCTGGCCGATGATGTTGACCAGGCAGAGCGTCTCGCACAGGAAGTAGCGGATGGCGTAAGAGTTGTGCCGCTGCAACAGGCGGACAGCCGAGTCAGTCAGCGCCGTGCGGACATACCCCTGGCGCGAGGCGCCGGGGCGCGGGGTACCGCCGTCCCCAACAGTCCAGCGGGCACTCACCTCGACATGATGCAGCAAGTAGTCGATGAGGACCTTCTTCTTCTTGTCTTTGTCCTTGTCCGGCACCAGGCTCTGGTTCATCCCCATGGACAGCGTCCGCACCAGGCCGCCCTCCCAGGCGTCCCACAGCCACTTGGGAGTGTAGCACATCATGGCCTGAAACAAGACGAGAAGAAAAAATTAAGATTGGGGCCATTTGAAATAATGGTAGCTTAGCGCTCCGCACGAACGCCGCCGTGCTCTGGGCCTCGCTTGGTCTCGCTTGCACCCGGAGCCAACCGCGCGGGAACAAACCCTCTCACTCCCTCTCTCACACACATGAGCGCGCGCGCTCAACGGGTTATTTCCCCACCACCAGCAGCGGCAGCAGCAGCAGCTCCGCCAGCTCGAGGCGGCGCGGCTGCCGACGGGGAGGTGAGGAGGTGTCGCGGCCGACGCGGCCACCACGCCGCATAACTCAGGACCCCGCCGGGCCAATATGAATGAACGCCGGGGGGTCCTGTGCCAAAACATAAATAAAATACTACTGCCACTACGACCTGGGACCGGGCCGGGCGCGTAGTAGGAGTGACTGGGCACAGTAGTAAGGCCGTAGTAGAGCCATCGCGATAACACGGGCGACACGAGTGTGCGCTCATCTCCACCTCATCCGGTCCGCCTCGGTGACCTTGGTGACGTCACGCCCAGGTCAGGGCGGCCCAGCTGATCGCCCACCCGCGACACACCGCCCCAGTGCGGCCCCGGCCCAGCCCGGCGGACCGCGCGCGGCCGTGGACTGCGTCCCACACACGGCAGAGCAGGTTGCCGCCGACTCGCGCCGCAGCACGGCGCCGACACCGTGCTGCAGCAGGTGCGTGGCGCAGGGGGTAGCTCGGGCGTTGAGGTCTCCAGACGCGCAGGTCGCGGGCGGGAGAGGCGGGG